TTCTATCTTGGTTGGCTATTGTTGATATCATCAAACCATGAATTAAATTTATGCTTGAAAGCTTTATAACAATATTAAGTAAGTTTTTTTTGGCTAATTGTTTTTGAATTTGTGATTGGAGTTACTTGCTAGATGTCTAATACAATATTAATGATATTGAATCGAATTAGGCTAAATTTTTATAATTCCATTTTTAATGCCATCATGTCTATTTAATATTATAAAAAATACTACTATAATCACTTGTAACGTGATATTGAAGGAAAAGGAAGAACTATCTCCATTCGATATTATTTTCTTCTTAAATTAGTGCATAAGCCAAAGATAAAATTCTATTGTTTGCATCAAAAGCAATCGCAATCAACAACTTTCCACTAAACCTTTTATATAAATAGGAGCCATTTATATTGATAATTAGCCTACAAAATTTGAATTCTAACATGAATACTTTGTTTTTATTATTTTATTTTATTTACTTAATGTTGAATAATTATTTTTAATTTGAGTTTGTTCTAACCAAGTAGACATTGTTTAAGAGTTTATTTCATTATTAGCTTTATATTAGTTGATTTCCACTTTTGGCCTATTAGCTTGCCACAAAAACATAGTTCATTAGAGTTATATAATGAAGACTTTATAATGTTTTTAAAGATACAAATTTCAACAGCTTATTGATAGTAAATATAAGTTTTTTTCTTTGATTGTTTGTGGAAAAATCATCATTTCTTTGCAATGACATATATCATACATCTTATTTATTAACAATTATCTGATTTTATGGTGTCATTTGTATACTTTAGGTTTTTAGGTATAGAGTTATCTCTAGGTCTAAGTTAATTCCAACACTTTTGATTTTATATATATAGTTATCTTTAGGTCAGATTTTTATCAAATCTAGTTTTTAGCTTTCTAGATTATATTTTAATTTTGTTGGAAATTGTCTGACGATGTAATTAAAAGGGTCACATTATTTTTGCACCACTTAGATCCATGTCATCACAATTGAAAATAAAAACTTGAAGCATAGCGTGGACAACATTACTAATACAAATAAAATTTTATTTTTGTTTAAAAGATTTAATTTTTGTTTTTAAAGATCATTTGGTATTATAATAATTTTTGGTTTTTTCCTAATTATAGATAGAGAAAAAATTGAATGATTAGCCAAATAATTTTTTTCCCATATTACATTTTAAATTTTAAATCTTGATTTTGAAAAAAATTAAAATAACATGCTTTTCATTTATGTAAATCTATTATTTATTTGTTTTATATATAATTTATCTTACGTTAGTTTTCATTAAATATATTTTTAAAATATACTCTTTTAAAATAATTACAATTTTTTTAAATCTATTATTTTAAAAAATAATTATAAAAACGACCCCAATATAAGATGATTGATAGCCATGGGTAACTTTGCAAGAAGCGGGTGATAAAAACGGTGTCGTACTTTAACCAACGTGGTTGGATGTTGAGAAAAGGAATATATATCCTATCGATCTGGTTTGGCTCGCCGTAGCCAAACGAAACACTGGAAAGGGGAGAGAGATGTTTGCTGCTGCTGCCATCGCCGCGAGCTCAGCTGGTTTCAATATTTGTGGAAACCAGCTGACAAGGAGAAGCATTTCATTGAGAAGAGTAACTGCAAGGCACCGCTGCCAGGCTGTCAATAATAATAAAAAATTAGAATCAGAATCGCACCAAAACGAGCAACAACAAGGTGCTCTTCATTCCTCTCTCTAATTACTCTTCCCTACTTAGCCTATTATAAAAAAAATAAAATGATTAATCTTCAATCAGACGAGGAGGAGGATCATGTTGAAAACAGTTTAGGAGTTGAAGCTGCATTATCCATGCTCAGATTCTACAAAAGTAAGTTAACTTGTCATCGTAATTATTGCTTTAATCTGTTCTTGTAATAAATTTATAATAATCTTACAAGCAGGGGAGATATCGCCGCTGTTACCAAATAGTTGTAGATATGTACCCACCTGTAGTGAATATTCCATGGAAGCTTATAAGAAATACGGTGTCGTCAAGGGCACCGTCTTGACTGCCTGGCGTCTTTGTCGCTGTAATCCACTTGGTAATGTATTCTTTGTTTTGCAGATCGTGTACATTTTTGTTCTTAATTAATTCTGATCGAGTTTTAATTTCTTTTGTAGGTGGGTCTGGCTTCGATCCTCCGCGATGGTTTGATGAGGATCCTCCTTTTCAAGAAGATTGAGATGAGACGAGAGAGCCAATTTTAATGTTTTCCACTGCCTCCTGAAGTAAGCTTCTTTTTTTTTAAAAAAAAAAACACTCGAGTTTTATGGCTTCGCCGTAACTTGTTATATAATAATTTTATAGGGAATCATTTATAAAATATATCATCTTTTATTATTCTTTATTTTTCAGGCAGGCGTCAAAGAGGGGGATGACTGAGGACTGTGTCGATACAGAAAATAGAATTTCATTGAAGGTTAAAGATGCACTCTTCAGATTTGCACTAATGGTACTGATTCCTTATCTATATCATTAGGTTTCTAGATTCCAACACCTTTTCTTTGTGTATATAAATCGTTAACAAAGAATAGCTTAGCTGATACAGTCATGTGGTTTTATGAGAGTGTTAAAAACAAGCATTTAGTGAAGCTATTCAGTGTTGTTTAAGCTGCCCTTAGAACACCATTCAGTTTGTGGCTGTCTGATTGAAATACTGCATTCTCTTTTAACACTAATAGTTTCCTAGTCTGATAGTCTGAAATGTAATCATTCTGTTGTATATAAATGGTGTAGCCCACCACTATCGTATTGTCTGCCTCCCAGGTAATTTTTTTTTTGTCTTCTTGGAGGCTAGTGTTTTCTTATGGACAAAAAACATGATGAGTTAGTTGAAACCTGAAACGATGTATGATTGGAAGCTTGGAGCACCATTTGATCTTGAAACGCCTTCTCCCATGCTTCTATGCCCATGTTTTAAGGTAACCTGTTCATATAATGGCATTTACTGGGGTTTTGAACTTTAAAAAGAAACATGCTCATTTGTTAAAGTTGTCATTCTTAAAGTTTGCGTTGAGGATTCTCATTGTCACAGTCTCTTGGTTTATGTTAGAGCTGCTGCCTCTGATAAAGAATTTATTTATGATCATGATTGAGGTGATTAACCTAAAATGGTCAAAAGGAATAGAACTCCACTATTTTGAACTCATTTTAGAAGCAACTAGGTTAAGCTGTGAAAACACACCCTTTAAAGTATGCATTTTAAGCTTTTGGTTTTGATCACTAACCCTTTTAAAATTTGATTTTAACCTCTTCAGTAAGCCTGCATCTACTATTTGTGTAATTGTGGTAATGATATTGGGCCTTGCATGTTCCCCACCAATAATTGCAATTTCCAGCCATTCCAATGAACAGAAATAAAAAGCACAGCCTTCTCATCACCTTATCATAAATCACAATCTTCCTGAAATCCAAAGAACCCCCTCACATTTGCTTAGATTTTTCACCACGCTTGTCATCAGAGTCCAGTAAACCATAATCTTGTTGCACCTCCAAATTGTATACCTTACTGGTTGTGGTCATTGCATTTATTGAGAGAAACAGAGAAGAGGTGGCCAGTATAAGGTGCTTTCCTTGTCTTGAACGAAATGCGGAAGTTGGGCTAGGATTGGGGCATGGAGGGGAATGTTTAGGATAAGGGTTAGTGACCTATTAGAGAGTTCTCAGTTTTAGGGCGTGGGAGAGAACGAGCCGTTGTTATGAAGACCGAATAAAATGATTTAAACTAGTTTTTTCAATCACTAAAATGTCTAAGAAAAAACAGATGCTGTGGAAATAGTTTGAAGTAACATGCTTGTGAACAGAAGTGGTTGGAATGATAAGAATGCTCTCCTCTCTAACTTGATGCTGGGAAAAAAGAGATTTATAAGAAAATTAAGAAGAAAATGAAGCTAGGAGGAAAAAAGATAGAGAAAGAGAAGGAAAAGGAAAGAATAAGGGTTGGAAAAGTCTGGAACTTTGTAAATTTTATTCAATTTAAATCTATATAACATTTAGAAATATATTATTTACGCATGCAACATAAACTATATTAATTGGAATGGGAAATCTTTCCTTTGAAAACAAATTCCTTCCTTGCTTTCTAGATATGCTAACATAGGAAATCGATTTGAGACTGAAGATAAACCAAATCTCCTTTCAACACTCGTTGCAACCTCTCTCACCAGGCATGCAAAGATGATAGTGTTCATCATAATTTCTTCCATTTTAATGAATAAAATCGTTAGATTTTAAATATTAAAAGAAAGTTGGTTAGGTTAAGTTGCTGTGAACCTAATAGATGTTAGTTTTCATGGTTGTTATGCTGCTTTGGTTCTAGGAGTTGTGATTCCTTGTTATGGATAATTAATATCATAGGTTTTGACTAAAGCAATATGAGTAGCTATTGTCTATTGTAGTGTGTTTAAATTGTTTCACAGGTGCCATTACTATGTTAAAAAGATTGAAAATATATAAATCAAATCTTCATCTGTTTTGCTTAATAAATTAAATAAACAATCCCTTTCCCCTTTCACTTCATCCATCCTTCCCTCAATTGCTCTGGGAAAATTCCAGCTTTTATAAGAGTTTAATTTACTCGATTCCTATTCATTTTCTTCCATTTCGGACCGAATAAATTACAACTTAGTCCGTGCAATCATAAAAAAATAAATAAATTAAACCTACTAGTATAAAAGAATAATTAATTTTTTTTTAAAATTATTTTCACAATGATCTTTGTATCCTATCTACCTATTCTTATACTTTTCCTAAATCTTAAAATAAATAATATGAAATAGATGAAAATGATTAATTTATGAATGAATTTAAAAACATAGTAATTAAGTTATATAGTTATAAAACTATAATGCTAATCAATCAATTTTATTAGGAAGAATAATAATTAACTTGATTATGAATTTGTTTAGTTCTATTAGTTTGCATTTTGTGCTACTACAGGTGTATCAAAATTCTTTTGAACATAAAAGAAGAATGTTTAGGTTCCGAAGAATTTTTTATTATTGTTATTAAACCTAAAAATACAGTTGTTTCGGACATTTCTTTTTACCAAGATAGATTTTCATTGCAAAATAAGGTTAATATTTTTGTTTAATAAAATAAATTGAGATTTATGTGTTCATAAATGATAACATATTTGTTTATCTAAACTAAATATTAAGAAAATTGAGATAAAAACGTATATTAAAATATCTAATCTTTAAATGTTATCTTAATCTAAATATAGAATTTCTTAAAAAAAAATTAACTCATTTTAAATACTCACCAGCATATATTTTTCAAGTCTAAAATAAATTTTCTTATTAACACATCTTCTGTATATGATTGAAATTATTGTTTTTGTTAAAAAATATATTTAATGATTGTCAAAGCAAGTTACAAAAAAGAAATATCCAAATATTATGTCTAAATTTTATTTGTGATTGAAAGCTAAACAAATCATAAAGGAATTAAAATTATGGTCAACATCTATTTTAAAAAAACAATTTGGTTTAATTTTCATGAATAATATATTATGAGTACTGTCAAAATTAAAGAATAATTGAATTATTACGGTAATTGTTTGTTACTAAGTGTAAAGAAACAAAGGAAAAAACAGACATAAAAAGGCTAGCTTATTGCCTAGCTCTCAATAGCAAGGTTTGAGCTAGGCCTATTGCCTAGCTCTCAATAGCAAGGTTTGTCTCCTTTAAGGGTGTGCATTTCTAGTTTGGTCCGGTTTTGAATCAAAATAAATAATTAAATTATAATTTTTTTTCAAGTTTTGAAATTGAACTGAATCGAATTGAAAATCGGTTCAAACCGACCATGTTCGGTTCAGTTAAGGTTTTTTTTCCTTCTAAACCATTTAAACCAATTCATCTTATTTCTATTTTCATAGCTTTATGCTTATGAGAGAAATCTTGGTTTTCTCAACGTGCTAAACTGGTTAGGAATATCTAGAAATCCAACCCTAGTTTTCTTTTTGTTAGATGCTTGCTCAAAAATTAATCTTTGCATAAAAAATACACAAAACATAAGGAAAGAAAAGAAGTTATTTCACTGAAAAAAAAAGACCAAAAGATATGTAATATTCAAATAAAAAACCAAAACAATTAGAAACTAATTACAAATTTTTACATAGATCAATATCATTTATTGAGTATGTGGTGTTTTTATACTCAGTTTCTTCAATAACTAACCAAACCCGATGTCTAGTTGTTGTCCTCTTAAGACTAACATCAAGAAAATTATAGAAAAATCTTTCACTAGTTTCACATAACAATCTTCTTCAATTACATGGATATGAAAAATTATATAGCAATTACAAAGTTAAAAGCCAAAGAAAAGGTAAAGAGGGGCGTGACTAAACTAAAAACAAATTAAAATCAAGTGAAGAAAGGTGTGCCTTTTATAGGAGGATAGATAAGCATGGAGAAGCAGGAGCTTAACAATTCTTAAAAATTGTGGGATATGAGAGAGGAGAGAGTGGGAGATTTAGAGAGCAAACTAAGGGGAGGAGGTGGTTGTTTTTAGAATGTTACTTTAGGTTTAGGGTTACGAAAAAAACAAGTTATTTATACTTTTTTTTTTAATGTTGGCTTGGTTGAATCAGTTCAGACTTTAAAAACCAAAAACCAAACCGAACTGAATTTTTTTTTTGTTATTTTTTAATTGGTTAATTTGGTTTTTTTTCGGTTCGGTTTTTTCGATTTTTTTTTTTTGATTTTTTTATTTTAATTGGTTATTCGGTTTTTTCACTCACCACTAGTCTTGCTCTTTTTTCTTTTTTTTTTTAAGATGATGAATAACATGCCATTCATTTTTTTTTAAATAAAATAAAATAAAAATAAAAATATGAACAACATGTTTTTTGGTTCAATAAATAACATGTTATTAGATTACTTAGTTTCAGCCAACCAAGTGATCCAAAATCGGACGAAAACTTTTATTTAGTTTCTTTAAACCAAATAATTTGTTTTTCAACCAATTTCCGACTTGAAAGCATATGAAAAATAATATTCATTACTCAATAAACCAACTTGTACTCTTAAAGTTTACAAAAATCAATCATGAAACAAAAAATTAACTTAAGGCCTCAAATCTGTTAAAGTCTCGAAATACTTTTTTGGCCAGTTTGAATGCCAATAACCAGCTCTATCCAACTCCTATAGTTAAATGAAATATTTAAACACCAAACTTGATTAGTTTTGTGGTCGGAATCGAGACAATCAACCATTTTCTCTCTTCATCATTATTTTTCAGCAAGTATCTCTCTCTCATCTAGGGACCTAAAAAAAGAGTAAAATGAACTTATGGATTAAAATAAACATTGACAAAAAATTTAGATCAAACTTATTGTTCTTCATGTTTTTCAATTTAGTACTTTTATCATATTTTTAATATCAATTCTATCTAATTAGGTCACTGAAGGATACAATTGAAAAGAAAAATGAGTTTTGAAATGTGACAAAAAAAAATAATCCTCAAAGTGTTTCATAATTTATATGAATAGTGATGTACTATAAAAAATTTAGGTTATTTAGAGTTCTAGGTAATTATCAGTAAAAAGCATGATTCCAAAAATAATATATCTATTAAATGTTTTTTTTCCCTCAAACAGTCCAAATAATGAGCCATAAAAACTGCAATTTGCTTTTAAAAGCTCATCACTATAAACATTGACAAAAAATTTAGATCAAACTTATTGTTTTTCATGTTTTCCAATTTCATATTTCTATCATATTTTTTAGGGTTGAGCATTTTTGGTTTGGTCCGGTTTTGGATCAAAATAAACAACCAAACTGATTTTTTTTAGTTTTGGAACCAAACCAAACCAAAAACCGGTTCAAACCAAAAAGCAATGTCAAGATACCATCCTCTAAGAATCAACAACATTGTTCTTGTTG